CTGAGAGTAAAGTCCCATTCACGCCACTTGATGTCGTTCTCGCCACTCCTGCCGGTAAAGACGGGGAAGGTGGCCTTTGTCTTGAGATTGAGTGTCATCTCTCCTGTCTGCTTTGTTGATGTAGTTATTGTCTTTCTTCAGATACTGCTAGTAGTTGACTGCTGCTGATACTGCGCAAGACACTGATAGACCTGTTAGGATCTGTCAGTCAGCTGGTGAAGACTTCGGCTCAGATAAGCAAGAACCAAGTTGCTGCGCCCATGAGAGAAAAGGCCGGTGAGGACCTTTCCTGTAGTTAGCTGAATAGAGGATCTGCTGGGCGGTAAGTCCCAGAGTAAGAGTGCTTTTTCTTTAATAAGACCGATGGACTGGCCAATCAGTCAAAGTTGTTTCTGTCCATTCATTCATTCATCTTACCCCCCATGATTGAGTTGGTGATTTCTCGGCTGTTTCTCCTCCTTTTCGGATGAGCGAGCGTGTATCGGACTACACCCAACCCCCTCCACCTACCCTCATCCCGCGAGACGGCGGCGGGCCCCCCTGTTGCGCATGCAGGAGGGAGGGGAGGGTTTGCGGGACTGGGGTGTGCTGATGGGGCGGGGATTGATCCCTCCTCCCCTTGAGCCTGTTTGAGTCTGCGTGCTGATGGGACTGTATTTGTATGAGTATCACGGACACACAGACGAGTGTTACGGTTAATGACAGTTTCCCCCCCTTCATTCATTCATTCATTCATTCAATCACTTCCTGGCCCATGTATGGCATCATGAAGGGTGGTCAACACAGATCTCACTTCGGTGATGGCTGATAAGATCGTGTCTCCTCAGAATGCTTTCCTTGTCTTTCCTTGTCTTCTCATCTCTCCACCCGTTACACAGCAATATACCCTAGCTCACAAGCTCGCAGTGGTTCGTCTTGCCAAGCTGGCAATCCTGACAGCCCCTCATTACCCAAATCCAGCTGCCCCAAGCTATAGTCCATTCCCACTCCCACCAGGCGCCCCCTCAAGAGTTCTTGAAGCTGTCCGTAGGCCTGCTCGGGTATTCCCATTAGTTGCATGTCTGGCCATTCTATGTGCTGAAGTGTTGCAAAGCGGTAACCATCCCACGCCTGCAGAAACTTGTCAACTACGTGAGAGCGCAACGCTGAGACTGATAAGGCCTTAACACACTCAGCAGCACGGCAAAGACGTTACAAGCACATCATACCGATACTTTCTCCCCTTCCCACTCACCGCTGAAGCCTGTTTTGCACAGTGTTTATCAAGAACGGGCCTGATGAATTCCGCCAGGTTCTCTTCCACCACCTGTCGCCACCAGGACTGGTGCAACATGGGCTGGTCCCAGGGGATCTCGGAGCCTTCTCCCTGCTTCAACTCCGAGAGCGCTGCCTCGACTGCTGTCCTGATCTCACTGCCTGCCTCCAGCCCCAACAGAGTGTCGACGGTGCCACCAAGAATGAGACTGAAGGCCTCATCAGGCGGCAGGAAGCAGTAGGGACGCATCGGCCCGTTGCGGGTATCAGAGTGGACATTCGGGAGCGTGATGGTGTGTGCCTGAGAGTAGAGCAGACATCAAACAAATAAGAAAATAGACAACGCTTGCATGCCACTACTTGTTTACCTCTGTGCTCATGCTAGATAGCTGCGCCAAACTGCATGACACGGTAATGAAGGGATGCGGATAAACCCCGTTGCGCATAAGGTCCCTCACCAGCCGATCCAGCACACGCTTTGTGTTCTTCAGCCCTGTGATGGAGGGACCACCGCGCCTCGACTGGTCTTTGTTGTGGTACTCGATGGGACAGCTGCGGAAGTTATCGTACCGCTTGCCGCCTGTGTCGAGATGGATGCCGAGCCAAACTGTCCGGCGGTCAGAGAGGGTCATAAACGTGTGGAGGGCAATCTGCACCTGGGGTGTAGGGGAAGGGTCAGCCGTCTTGATCTCGGAGAGAGCCCACGCCTCGTCCTGATGCCGGAGGCCGAAATATGCCTCTTGCGACAGCTGCCCGGTCAAGAATCGCTGAAAATGCGTGACTTCGGGGTTGAAAGGACCACTGAAGCTGGGAGCCATTCTGTGGAGGGCAGCGCGAAGACCCCTTCGGCAGGAGCAGTGGCGGCGTGAATCCTGCGAGCTTAGCTTTCCCCGTCAAAAGCTCGCAGATCTTCAACCATCTGGGCCTTCCAAGCCCTTGGGGCGTGCCTACAACGCGTTTACTTTGCCAGAAATCCTTTTCTGAGTGTATTGGAGTGCTCTCGGCTGCGTGCACATGGAGAGAGGGGTGTTGAGGAGCAATGGCCTGCCGAGGGTCTACATCGGTGTGGGGAGCGACATGGCGACGCTCAAGTGGGACAGAGATGGCAAAACGGCACCACGCAAGACGAAGATCAGCGGCAAGGATGCCTGGGGGAGGAAGACAGCCAAGGCTGATCTAGCGAGAGGAGATGAAGCGGCACAGAAACGCAAGAATGAAGGTATGTACGGTGACTCACATGCGGATGCATGCCTTCGGTTGGCTCATTTGTGCTGTTTCTGTGAGAGCGCATGGGCAGGGAAGGACTCCGAGAATCGTCCTGTGGTGGTGCGTTCGACATATCAGCGACTGAAGAAAGCACACACAGATTCGACGGGGCAAGCAACACATCGTCGACCTCCATCCACCCTTCTGGTCCCGCACTCGACGCACACTCGCCTGACCAAGATACACGAGCGTCGCGCAGCAACAAATGATGAACATGCTGCCCGAGAGACCGTGCTGATGGCGCAGGAGGACAAGTCGCCACCTCATCTCCATGGGCACAAGCGGGGGGAGATGGCTGCGGGTGATGCACTGGACGGACATCACAGCGATGAGCTGAAGACAAGCACGAGCGGGACGACGGCTACGAGAAAGAGAGAAAAGCGTCCCGACGAGAAAAGCGACGAGAACGAGACGCCTGGCCCAAAAGAGAGGAGGCAAGAAGACTCAGCAGCACGGCGCTGCAGCTGCTCTGCACGCAGATCACAGCGATGAGCTGAAGACAAAAGCCAACACCATCGGAGCAGCGGGCGACGGGAAAAAAGACGAGAACGAGACGACTGGCAAGAAGAGACGAAGCAAGAAGACTGTGCAGGAGGGCGCTGCGGTTGAGAAGAATCAGCAGGGGCAGTCTTGTTACGTCCCTGGCGATGGCCACGAGTGGAGGTCGTTGCGCTTCAAGCGCATCGGGACTGTGCGTCAGTGCAATGCAGCCGCTGCATGGCTGGCCCGGGCCAACTCGTCGATCGATGGATGGAGCCCTAACATCGTCAAGATCCAGCGGGCATCCACCAAGTGATGCAGGCTGTTCTGCAGTGAGTGATTGGCCGGCAGACAGCACAGCTGAAGCAGGGAGGGACTGCGCTGTCAATCTGGGCTCAATAGCTTTCAAGGCCGGGAAGGGAGGGATGGAGGAAGGGGGACGACCGAGCGAGGGAGGGAGGGATGACTGTCCTATCGGGGGGGGGGCGATCGAGAGAGAGGTTGGCTTGGCTGTGCTGTCTTATTGTCTCGGCCTCCGGGTCTGCAGTCTAATTAAGCAATAGGGCCAATGTATTCGTTACTTTGATGTGACTCTGCTCTCCCGTGAGAAACATCACTACGCTCCTCCTGATATTTACGATTGCCGTTGCGTATCATATAGTCCGCTAGGCGATGGCGGCCACACCAGCGCAGCTTCCCCTCACTCTCCAGCTGCCTCCCCGTGGGTGTTTTGCCATCGACCACGTCCCCGAGGACACGCCCGAGAAGAGCAGCAGCGTCGCCAGGGAGAGCGGCAGCTCACTCGCACAGGGAGATGGCGACGGCGATGGCGATGGTGACATTTGCTGCAGCAGCATTGTCCCGCTCAACGGCAATGATGACGCGCCCAGCACCCCCACGCCCCTCAACGGCCACGAGGCCAACTTCCACGGCGACTTCGTTCACTGTATCCACACCTTCTGCCGCTCACACCCCTGGACAGCCTTCCTCGTCGCGGCGCCGCACTTCCCGGCCTTCCTGCCACACCCATACATCTACAGCCGCTCGCTCGGCTCTCGGTCGCAGGCAATGCCCCCCTTCTCGTCGCCCGTTCCATCATCAGAGGGGCGTTGCCTGTTTCCCGGGGCAAGCAGCCGTCGTGACAGAGTGGTGATTGAAGGTGCGGATGACGGCAAACAGGGGGTTGGGGTCGTGGCCTGCCGGCCGACCTGGTGCCCGGGCTGGCTCAGCAGGGGGGCCGCGGGGAAGGAGGACGGGGACGGTGCAACGACGTTGGTGGAGACCTCCCTGTGGTCGTCATCGTGTGTGGGCAGAGGCATCATGTCGGCGTTGATGCCCTTCGGGGCGTGTGACTTGCCGATCGTGTCACCAAAGGCGCTGTCGATCACTATGGGTGCGGTGCCAACGGAGCTGCCAACCGTCACGACCATCACGGGGCTGCCCGGCATGTCGCCGCGAACGACGAATGCGGGTACGTACGCTGCACAAGCTCACTGCACTTGCAGCTCACATTGCTGTCTGTGTGTGTCTGCCTGGCTGACAGCGTCACCCCAAAGTGTGTCGATCTCGCTGCCCGACGACACCCCGCCGTCAGGTCTCATGAAGCCCCTGCTGAGCGACCTGTCCGAGGACTCCATCCTTCCACCTCCACTGCTGCCACTCCCGCCCCCATGCCCACCAGACATAGACATCGACCAGCTGCCGACCGGCCCTCCCCTCTCACCGCAACCGTCACCGTCTTCCTCAAGCGCCAGCCTATCGTATACCGACTCATCTGAGCAGCAGCCGCCGAGCGACCACACGAGCGAACCACGATTCCCACACACAATGGTGGCCGAGAGGGAAGAAGGACAAGAGGATAGGGAGCCGCGCAGGACGGTGCTCGAGATCACGGACTCGTTGGTGAGGAGAGCGAATCGGACAAACCTGCCAGCCAAGCGGGCTCCGTGTCTGCCCTTCTCGTGCACGTGCCAATCCCACGCCCTCCCTACGCCAGAGACGTCGCGAGCCGACTCGTCCTCCGGCAATCGCAGCACCTGCTCGCCGGATCCTCCACTGACACTGCTGGGGATGGCTCAGTCACACTACAAGGCCACGATGCACAGGGAGAGTGAGAGGGAGAAGACGGCGCAGAGGGGCCAGGGGGAAAGAAGGGCGGTATCGGCATCGGCATCGGCATCGGCGTCGGCGTCGGCGCAGGCCGTGGCGGTGGATGGGGTCATCTACGGGCCGCTGAGGAAGAGCAGGCCTGAAACGGGGGCAAGCAGGAAGTAGGGTTGGGGGGGATGCTGCGTGTGGTAGAATGGTGCCATCGAGTGTCTTGTGGTTCTGTTTTTGGTGTTGCGTGCAGACAGGTCAGGTTGTATACAGTGTGTTCATCTGTGTGGTGGTGTGAGTGAGCTTTCGTGTATGTAGAAAACAGGTCTTATTCGGCGCATCGCAGGTCTGCGCATCGCATGTCTCATCGGGCAGTCAGGTTGTGGGATGGGGCCGGACTGGCTGACCACAATCAATCGCACTGTGCTCTTGGGCCGTGTGGACTGATCGCATGGCATGTGTGTGTGTCGTCTCTTGCCAGAGAGTCGGTTGGCTTTTGAGTGGGTACATTAGTGTCAGTCATTCGATCGTGTGACGTACGTGGGGCGGGGGAGGAATGGGGTGGGAAAATGCGTCATCCTTCGTATTGTGTACATGAAGCCGCCCTTTACGTGTGTGCACAGAAGACTTGGCGTCCATCCACAGTGTGTAAGAAGGAACCGATGGATGCACGTGTGACGAATGATGGGTACAGATGCCTTTCCGAAAAAGAGAGAGAAGATTGTCCTGTCCTCATCTGCTAGCACCTGGCATCACTGAGTATTTCGCATGTGTGGCCCCCCAGCTTCTCGTCCAGCTTGACTCGCCTTTCCCACTTCTCGCCCTCGATCGGCTCGGCCGTCCCCACCCGCTGACCCTTGCTCCCGCTCTTATCCAAGGCAAACACCGTCCAGGACCTGCCCTTCTCTGAAGAAACAAAGAGACATGAGAGGCCAAGGAATGCCTGCCTGCCTGCATGCACGATAATGAGGCGGAATTGCGGACCTTTTTCCTCGAGGCAGTAGCTGCGTTGGTTCTCGAGGCAGTGCTCTGCCGACGTCCACTTGTACATCCACCGGCCCGCTGATGCGCAAGAGGACACCACATATATATCGTCAATGTAGAGCACTCTGCCCACTGTGCGTCCTCTTTGTCGACTCACTGCTTCGGCTCTTTGCTGCGGCCTTGATGCTGTCGGCTGAGAATCCAGCCTGAAGGGCTTCGCCGTTCGCTCGGATGGTCTGAATGGCTGTCTTGAAGGCGTCCGTCATCCCAGCGTCCATTGCTGTCCGTTTCATCTCGGCCTGGAGTGTCTGCAGGGTCTGTTTGAGGCTGGCAAGCTCATCCCCTATCTTCCCTGCAACAAACAAACTCTCTTTGAGACTCCACACCTCATTTGCAAAGGAAAACTGTGTGTTTGTTTGCGAAAGTTTAACCGACCTGTCTGTGAGGGATAGTCGGCAGTCATCACTGCAAAACACGCAGCAAGTGAGAAGGAAGTGAGAAGGAAGCAATGCATCTGCGGTTTGTCCATGCACCAGCCCCACGAGCGGATTACCTCTGGAGTTCCAATCCTGGGTATCTTCGGGGGTGGGGCCATGCTGACCCTGGCCACCAACCACGAAGCCGACAAGAAGAGCGCAGAGCAACATGAAGCGGCCGACACCCATTTAAGTAAGATACTGCCGGTCGCGCTGCCCCCCATCCCCCCTTCTCCCGTCTCACCCCCAGTCTCCGAGTCGCCATGCGGTTTCTCGTGGCCCTCTATTGCCTCCTGGGAGCAACAGCCTCACGAACCAGCACCCACGACCGCCCCCGCATTCCCTCGCTTTCATCGAAGGGTGAGACCAGACCAAGCTAAGCCTTCCATCTATTGCCCTGCATCAGCAGCGCAGCCGCTTGTGGATATGCTCATGTTTGTTTGCAGCCATGAGGGTCACTCACCTGCACTCGCATGCCCGCGATATGGGTAACCGAAGGATGAGAGTCGAACTTCGACGGCACAACAGCAGGAGTAAGACAGCTATGAAGGAGGGAGAGATGAGGGAGAGATGCCGCCAGGACGGGGCGGGAATTGAAGAGCCTCCTTTTTGTGATTGTTCAGGCCCTCCACTGGCACCCTCCTACACTCAAGGCAACACCAGCTCCGAGGCCGCAGCTCGAGTGGCTGCCACGAGGCTGAGCACCTTCCCCCTCACGGGTCATCTGCCGGCCGTCCTCACCGACACCACCGCATACTGGGCAGCCATGAGACACCACTTTCACCAGGGACACGCCACGTCGCTCAGGCGGATCAGACACGGTGGTCCCGGGGCTATTCCTTTGCCGTTGGGCGGGATGCAGCCGCACATCTATCTGAAGCAGCTCCTCATTCGTGTGATAGCGTGTCTTGGCGGCCGCAGCGTGTGCAGCAGCGAGGACGTCTTCAGAGGCATGATCGTCTCTGGCGTACATGACCACGCCACATATGACGTACGTACTCGCTGCTGCACCAAACGCGGAGGAAAGAGACACGTAAGGTGCTTCTGTGTCTGTTTCCTCCTTGTTTCTTTGCAGTCGTTCTTTGGTTATCTCATGGAGGTGCTGTGCCCGACTGACCCGATAGAGCACTGGAAGTCGTCCCACTGCAACGATGCCAAGTACAGGGAGATACACGAACTCATCGACAAATCGTGGGCCGAAATCGTAAGAGACGACTGACTGATGTGACACATCAACACGTGTCTCACCACCGAGCATAGCATTGTGTGTCGTGTGTATGATCATGATCTCAGGGGTCACACGAGTTTGGATTCGAGACGTGGCACACTGTCACTGCCAACATCTTCCATCGTGCGCGCTTTGCACCGTGCGTCTCACCATCTCTGCTTTTATTCCATTCATGTCTCCTCTGTCTGTCTGTCTGTCTGTCTGTCCGTCTCTCTGTCTCTCTGTCTTTGTCTGTCGATCGATCAGCACTGGGGACTCTGCTTCTGGTGCTGATTGACAGGTGCGGGCGAGAGTATGCGATGCAGGACCGCGTCTTTGAGGCCATGGCACGCTCACAGCAGCACCCAGCAAACAGCAGCGGATCACTCCTGTCGCAGGACGCAGAGGCCAGAGTGGTCGACGAGAGGGTGCGTGCGAGACACACGTCTGTGTCGTGTGTCTGGATGTTGTCTCGGTGTGTGTGTGTTGGTTGTCATTTGCAGTCTTTCAGGGCCTTCTTTGAGCGGTCACTCCGTTTGGATGAGATAGACGACCGCACACCAGACGTGGCGCTGCTCCACCACAAGCAGGAGATGCACGCGCTGATATGCGAGGCGTGGGACGAATGCGTAAGCGAAACACACGCATCATCAACACGCTGGTGTGCGTGTGTGGCCATGGAGTGCAGGCTCGTGAAGTGCAGTTGCTCCAGGCCCACGAGTATGCCATCCAAATGCTGAGGAACGAATCACGGCAGCTGGGGCGGTCCGGGGGGCAGCAGCAGCAGCAGCCGATTGACCGATTGTACTGGGAGCCTCATGAGCTCATGTACGAGCCGCCAGAGGCACCGGGCACAGGGCCGCTCATTGGCAAGCCAGAGCACATTGACATTTATCAGTGGAGACAGATCACTGCTGGCTACTTCTCGGCCGGATTCTGACGCACGTGTGCCGTGGGTGGTGGCGGGTGAGATGTGTGTCCATTGGCGATAGGTTGGCAATTCTCTGATCGATTGGCCAAAAAGTTGTGTTGACACAAAACTGTCTTGTCTGCCTGTCCCCATCTGACGGGCGATGGCCTTACTGCACGTCTGTCGACGCTGTCGTCGTGGTGCAATCAATCGTCCGTCACGTGTGTGTGCAGTGCAAGGACGACCGAAAAAATGCCCCTCGCAAATCTGACGGACTCAAGTCTGTCTGTCCCGCTACCCACAGACATCTAGCCATCTATCCATAATCCATCCATCCATGAGGGACAAACAGCACACCGACACGCGAGCAGGCAGGCAGGAAGCTGCACATGATACTCTATGTGGATGGGATCAGCAACGGGAGAGAGAGGGAGAGAGAGACGCGCATCATACACAGGTAGACAGCTTGCGAATTGTAGACCGACGTGCTATCATTCAATCAATCAATCATCAATGTCTGTCGAGGGAAAAGAGGCAAGGCACCGCGGCGCCCCCCCTCCTCTTCCTCCTCCTCCTCTCATTCAGCAATCCATACCCACACACACAAAGACACATACATGCACACACGACATGACATGGCACCCCCCTCCCTTGCCCAGTCAGTGTGTCTGACATGGTGGCGTGGACAAAACCGCCAACGGACAGCTGCTGTTGAGGAGGTGAGCAGGGAGGGAGGGAGGGAGGGAGGGAGGCAAGGGGGGACAGGTAGGTAGACAGATAGAGGGAGAAATGAGTCAGGGACACGGTGTGGCTGGCTTTGGATCAGACAACAGCCGTGCAGCGCACGAGCTACGTCAAGTGAGGCACACCAAACAGTGCGCCATCACTTACCGTTGCTCGCCCGCTGGAAAGCTGTTCAATCCGTAGCCTCAGTCAGAAGATCACCACGTGGCCATCAGAAGGAGAGAAGGACGGGAAAGGAACCACATGAAGAGGCAATACCTGGCTGCACCCACGGTCACTGGACAGCTAGCTAGTCAGAATCTCGATTCGCTGGACTCATCTATCTCATGGATGGACGAGTTGGGCCAAGCAAATCGAATGCATCACCGTGTGTGAATGCACTCATCAGCATGTGTACCAATGAAGAAAAGACCGCAACTGCACAACTAGACTAGGCAGAGGAAACAAGGCAGGCAGGCAGGCAGGCACTCGAGGGTACATACGAGAGAGAGAGGGTAGGCCAGGGTCACTCACTGTACCAAACAAGTGATCGACCTATGCGTATGTCCTTCCGCACAGAGAGCCACAGAGAGATGCCCTTAGGACTATACAACAACGCCCATTGCCCGACAAACGCACCACACACACAGTCAGGCTTCTCTACAACATACATACACACCCACACACACGAACACAGCCCTCCCCTCCTCGCCCCATACATGTACACTGCAATTCACCCCGTAAGCCCCCTCCATAAAGGAAACAACAAGAGGCAGATCACACCCACACCTCTGGCTTGGAGTTGCCCTGCGTCTGAGGCACTGCGATGGCCAGCCCGGGCGGCATTGGAGCCAGCGGCTGGGACCTCTCATCGTCACTCAGAGGCCGCAGCTCCAACTGATACTCATCCCACTTGCTCTGCATTCATCAACACACAAAC